GTCTCTAGCCCTAGTTTAATATACACCCCCCAAATTTTAATACCGTCTAATCTACAACCCTGAACTCTCAAAACCGGCTAGAATTCAATCCTCCCCTCCCGGTTGACTGATTTTGACCCGCTGGCTCGGTGAATATTACATTAAAATTAAAAAAACTTGGAAAATTTATTTATTATTTTAAATTTATGTTTCACCTCACTAGTAAAAAAATTGGAAAATTTATTTATTATTTTAAATTTATGTTTCACCTGGTGAAAAAATTGAAATTATTTTTGAAAAAAATCAGTAAAATAAAAAAATTGCCGCGCATCTGCACCGGTTGAAAAGTAAATAAAAAATAGAAAAATATAAGAATACTAGAAAAATCAAAAAAATCTGATTTTTTTTGCATGGAGAAGATGTCTCAATATGTCAGGTCCGTGCCAATTTTCATCGCGTTCATACACACATCTGAGTAGCTCTCAGCAAAAAAATGGCCCAAACAGTTAACTATTCCAAAGACCCCACATTTGTCTTTTTTACTGAGAGCTACTCAGAAAATTGGCACGGACATGACACATTTAAATATCATTCATGAAAAATAACAGATTTTTAGTAAAATAATTTAATTTACTATTTACCTGGTGAAAAAATCCACATCTTTTTTAGAAGGTGTTCACCCAGTGAAAAATAAAAACTATTTTATTGATTTTTTTACTTTACTGTTCACCCAATCACCGGGTCAAAACCGGTCAACAGGGATGGAAGGGTTGAATTCTGGCTGATCTTGAGAGTTGGGGGTTGTAGATTAGACGATATTGAAGTTGGGGATATATATTAGACTAGGGCCACAGTTTGGGGGTGTAATATGGAAGCGAATTAAGAGCACTCGGGTGCTCCACCCCCCTATATTAAAAATAATTTAATAACTAAAAGAAAGTCAAAAAAATCTTGGATATATTTTTGAAACAAATATGACTAGGTATTGTACTCATATAAACAGTTTGGCCAAGGAATGATTCTCGTTGACTTCACGGCAAGAAAACCAAATTTATGACGACAATATAACATGAATAACACTTGTATCTAGCATTTTCTTGGAAATCTTTGACCCCAGATACAATAAAAGTCATTCCTTGTTTAATCTTTTTATACGAGTGCAATACTTGGTCATGTTTGATTCCATAAAATGTTCCAAGATTTTTTGATTTTTTTTAATTTACTAAATTATTTTTGAATGTAGGGGGGCGTAGCACCCGAGAGCTCCTATGCATTTTCGGTGTAATATGTACTTCTCTCATAGTTTTATGCTCTCAACCCTAAGTTAGAGCTCAAAGCATATTCTTCCAGACTTAATTAGTAGACTCTGTCTTAATTTTTAACTTGAATCAGAGCTGAAATTTGACACACAAATTAACTAGGACAAAAATGTGACGTTTCTAGTGGCTTTTTCCCGTTGAGTGAATGAATGAATTGGTGGCAAAAGCTAATACAGCATGGGGTTTAATTTTTGTAGGCAAATCTAATGCTTACTTTTTGGAGCTAATCAACCAGCTATCCTGTAGAATAGGCATGTTCTTTCAGCATCACTAAACCCGTTGTCTTGTTGATTATGACAATACCTCATAAAAATTGAAACATACTTTCACATTTTAAAGCATAGATGACAAGAACATCCATCCTACTATTTCTACGGTAACCATTACCTGCGTTATTATTTTATCTCCTTCCAGTTGCAGGGTTCACTAGTAGAAAATATGGCTTTCGTCGAAGCTCAATCTACACATTAGTCCTGGCTGCATTATGAACCGGGACTAATGTGAGCATTAGTCGTGGTTCGAGCAGCTAGTGCGCCGGACAGGCATTAGTCCTGGTTCAAATCACTAGTAGAAAAAGGGGCTAATCTGAGACACATTAGTGTCGGTTTGATTTCAAGCCGGCACTAATGTGTCCATTAGTGCCGGTTCCAACTGCTAGGCGGGCGGACATCATTAGTACCGGTTCGTGGGCAACAATTAGTACCGGTTCATGCCATGAACTGATACTAATGATGCTGTGTCGGGCCGTGGGCCCCACGAACCCCTTTAGTACCGGTTCATGTCATGAACCGGTACTAGAGTTTCTTATTAAGCTGATTTTTAGTCCCACCTCGCTAGGAGAGAGGCAGTAGGAGCTGTTTATAAGCTGTGAGTGCAATGCTCGCCTGCAACTTGCTTAGCTTCAAGCCTTTCGGAATAGAATAGATTGCACGAAGCTGTGTGCAGTGTAGTCTACCCTGTTCCGAAAGGTTTGAATCTAACTAACGAGCATTGCGCCTTTTTTTTATTTTTAATAACTTATTAATTAGAACTCCGGACTTCTTGTGTTACAGCAAAAATGGCACTTCATTTTTTAAACTTATTACAACTTCAGACTTTTTGCCTTCAGTACGCACCATTCTAAGCCACGTCATCAATTTTCAACCCTTTCTGACATCATTTGCTCCCTTAGCACAAACTGGACAATATCTTTCGAAGTATCAGGGCCGGTTTCGGACGAAAGAGTAGAGAGGGGGTCACGGCAAAAAAGAAAAAACTATATAAAAAAATTTCTCAAAAATAAATAGAAGAAAACAAATAAAGCAGAAAAGAAAAAACTATATATAAAGAAGAAGAAGCAGAAGAAGAAGAAGAAGAAGAAGAAGAAGAAGATGATGATGATGATGATGATGAAGAAGATG